ATGGGTTAGGACACAATGGCCATCTGCAAACAAGCCTGAGACATTAGATCTACTGACATCTTGATCTTAGGCTTCTCAGCCTCCAGATCTTTGAGAAACAAACTGTTTAATGCAGTTTATGGTAATTTGTTATAGCAGCTCAAACTAAGGCATATAAGATTTTTAAAAATTGAGGTGAAATTTATATAACATAAAATTAATCATTAAAAATGTATAATTTTGTGGCATTTTGCATAATCACATGGTTGTGTAGCTACCAGTACTATACAATTCCCAAACATTTCATTTCCCAAAAAGAAAGTGCTGTGCTCATTTAACAGTTACTCCTCACAGGAAAGGTTTTAGAACAAACAGGAAGCATTTTACAGGCTGGTTTGGAAAGACCATTCCAGAGAGACAAAAGTTTACAAAGGCATTGGGATATCAGCTCTCTTGGGATGCTGTAAATGTGTGTGTCATGGGGATGAAGAAGTGATGAGCTGAGGTGAGAGGGAAAGAGGGCAAGGGCAGTGGAGACCTCATGTGCCACCTTTATCTCTGAGCTGGTAGGAAGTAATGAGGAATACGCCCATTTGAGCGATCTCCATCCCTATAGGGATACTGTCAACTTTAATATGAATTTAGTTTGAGCCAGGGCTTCACAACCTTGACTTTACTGACATTTTTGGCTTGGCAATTCTTTGCTGTAGGGATTGTCCTGTGCTTGCAAGATACTTAGCAGCATCTAGGCCTCTTAACCATCAACTACCAATAGAATCCTCCCCCCACATTGACAATCAGAGATGTCTTCAGACATTGCCACATGTTCCCTGGGGGAGATGCCCCAGTTGAGATCACTTGGAGGACTCTGACCCAGTATTCCTCAGAGGGTAAAGCACATGAAGTGGGAGGCACCCCCTTTGCTCTCTGGAGACAACAGAAAATGGGGCACTATCTCTTAGGGGACTGGGTCCTAAACTCATGAACACAAGGGAATTGGTCTTAAATTTTTATGGCTTTTTCTTCATTTTAATTTTTAAAAAAATTCCTTCCTCCCTCCATTCAACAACAATGCCTACTATATTCCAGGAACTAAGAACACTATCACAGGGGTGAGTTAATGGGGGATTAGCACCTTTCTCTTTACCATGCTCACAAAGAAAATGGTCAACATTTGATTTCTAAGAGAACAGTGGTTACTCCTGGAAGAGCAGGAAAAGGAAGGTGGGAAGATGAGGGAATTGTAGTCTCCTGAGATGGGATGTGGTAGAGAAGTGACATCAGCTTGTGCTTGCTTCCTTCCAGTGTTCCTTGCCCTCATAGTGTCCTTAGGCATGGCAGCATTTTGAGAGAATGGCTATGGGATGGAAGCAACAGGGAACCAGACTCAGATGCTCTTTCACAAAGGTCTCTGTGCCCAAGAGTGACAGAAACAGAGGGATTAGTAGCTCTGAAGGCCCACATGGCTCAATGAGCATCTCAGGGGGTTCAGTGGATTGTCTACCCCAGTCTGGACTGTGAAAGACTCTTGGGAGCTTTGTACAACCTAAGGGAAGTAGATTCAAGTATGACCGAGGTTAACTTTTCCCAGCCCAGAAAGGTAGGGACTCTGAAATTAGATTTAACTGAATTTGGAAATTTAATGACATTTTCTGCATTAAGTCCTGACATGTGAAACAAAGGTGAGGGAACAGTGCACTGGCTCTGTTGTAGTCTTAAAAAAAAACTTCCCTGGTCCACTCTATCAGTTCCTGAGATCATTGTGAAGGATATTGTACCAATGTTATCCTTTTTAAAAAATGTGATCTCAACTACATAAAGTTGTTCAAGTCCATTTTGTAGACAAGAAAACAGAACTTAGTGGCTTAAAGTTATCAGACCCAGCATTAGAATACAGGACTTCTGGTTCCAAGTCTCATTTTTGTTGTTTTTTTTTTTTTTTTTTGGTACCAGAGATCGAACTCAAAACCTTGCGCTTCTGAGGCAGGCACTGGAACCACTGAGCTAAATCCCCGGCCCAAGCTTCATTTTTTTTCCAGTGCCCAGGGAACCCTGCTTATCATTCATGAGGGATGAGACTGGTTAGGTCTAGGGCAGCTACTGCTATCAGAACCTTGTGAATTTGATCAAAATATTTCATCTCTTAGGTTTGTTTTCTCATCTGTGAAAGAAGAAATTTACCTTCATTGAATGGAGGATTTTGTGTGTTTTTATGTACATATTAAGAAACATGAAGGGCATACATTTTTCAGTGAACTCTTCAACAACATATAGCTCTAGACACTAGGGAGCTGCTGATACTCTGTAGTAATGATGACGGGCCGTAGGCTGTTAGGCAAGCTAAGCTGGGCCCCTGTGTGCAGGGTGGTATCAAGGGCAGTTAGAGGAGAGGTGGGACATCTGCTTACAGCAGCTACTACAGTCAGGTAATGATGAATGCACCTAACTTGTGGGACATGCAATGGGGAACAGGAACAGGGAGGGAAATGGACAGGACTGAGGACCTATTCCAGGGTGAAAAACACAAAGTGCCACATTCATTTACAGATAACTTAACACTTCTAGGGAAATGACTGTTTTAAGCCTCGCCTTCCTGGCACTAGATTAAAAGTGGCTGCCAACTATATTTGCCTGCTTTTCCTTGCGCTGTAGGCAGTTTCTGTAAAAGACTAGATGTTTGGAAATATCTAAAGAAATGTACTAGTTAAGAAGAGGGCCAGGGATTTAGCTCAGTGGTTTCGCCGCCTGCCTTGCAAGCACAAGGACCCAAGTTTGATCCCCGGTACCAAAAAAAAAAAAAAAAAGAAGTGATTATTTCCTAAAAGCTTTCTCTCTCAAAGGAGAAAACTGATACGCTAGAAGAGGTTAACAGATAAAACACCTATTTCAGAGGGCTAGAATACCTTTAAGTGATCTCTGATATTTCTCTTTAAAAAGTTAGATTTCTTTCTTTTTTTTTTTTTATACCAGGGATTGAACTTGGGACCTTGCGCTTTCGAGGCAGATGCCAGAACCACTGAGCTAAATCCCTGGCCAAAAAAGTTAGATTTCTTAGCACCCAGTCTTCTGAGCTTTTTAAGTGTCTTTGGAGGGTTAATAATAAAAACAAGCTTTAGGTCCAGGGATTTAGCTCAGTGGTTCCGGCACCTGCCTCACAAGCAGAAGGACCCAAGTTTGATCCCTGGTATATAAAAAAAAAAAAAAATGCTTTGCAAGCTGAGCAGATAGGCTGAGCCAGGAAAGCTTAGTCAAGGTGAGCAGAGCAGAAATCATCAGGTCAGAGTGTGTTTGTTCTTCTCTGCTCCAACTCAGCCACTGGTATTGTGCTTTAGGAAGAAGATACTTTTCTCCTGGCTTTTAGACAAACATTTTCAGTAGGAATCTCTACTTGTAGGCATCTCTGACATTAGGTAAGGGGGAGCTGGGCAGAGCAGAAAGGGCAAATCAAGTAGGAGTAGCAGCCCGACAAGAGGTGTGGATGGCACCAACTGGAGATCTGTGGTGACAGCTTCACCCGGCCTGGCCCCAGTACTTGCCAGAAAGAACTCTGAGGTTCTAAATTAGAGGTTATGAAGAGGTGGGTAGGAAGTTTAGTCCAAAGTAAAGATATTTCAAATACATTTTTATAACCTTAATGCATTAATCCATTACTCCTCATAAAGAACTCTATAACTCACAAACAAGTCCTCTTTTTAAGCACTTGGCTAACAGTATTCCTTAAAAATAATCAAGCCATAAGGCTTTAAGCAAATTCTAGATGATCTTTTAAATTAAAATATATTTTGTGGAACCAGCATGAGATTTAGCATCAAAGAGCCCTCAAGGGCTGGGGATGTAACTCAGTGGCAGAGTGCGTTCCCAGTATGAGTGAGGCTCTGGGTTCAATCCCCAGCACTACAAAAGGCCCCCAAGACTCAAATTCCTACTTTAATATTTATCCTGTTATTCTGAGAAGTTTCTTAACCTCTTTGGTCTGTACTTTTTTTTGGGTTTTTTTGGTACTGGGGATCAAACTCAGGACCTTGCACTTGCGAGGCAGATGGCAGAATCAGAGCTAAATCCCCGGCCCACCCCTTTGGTCTTGTTCCCTCATCTGTAAAATGGGAAGGCTACCTCACTAAATAGTATCGGATTATTTGTATGTCTACATGGATGTGTGCACACATACAGGGCAGGGCACATGGGGTAGCCAGGTCAGGATCCCCAAGAACAGGCAGTACCTTGGAAGCCACATTGGTGGCTGGGAGGATAAAGCTGGGGTGCTGAGAAAGGTAGAAAATAGTGTGGTTAGACAAAAAAGGACGAAGAGTGGGGTGGGAAATAACTGCCAGTGGATACAGGGTTTCTTTCTGATGACAGAAAGTGGTGCCATTTGCACAACAAATATACTAAAATCCATTAGTGTCTTGAAAAGGGTAAATTTTATGGTACATAAACCATCTCTTGATATCCTTTTTTTTTGGTGCTGGGGATTGAACTCAGGACCTTCTGCTTGCAAGGCAGGCATAGTGCCATTGAGCTAAATCCCTGGCCCATGTCTTGATGTCTTGTAATTTACTTATTTTGTAGTACTGGCATCAAACCCAAGGCCCTGGGCATGCTAGGCAAGTACCATTGAGCTACATCACCAAGCCCTATGTTGTTATTTTAAAAAGGGATTGCAGAATATATGAATAAGAACATCTGGTGAGGTGGAGAATCAAGTACTGATTTATAGGACAAGTCATTAAGGAGGCAAAGAACCTGTTTTTTTGGCCAAATCGTACAATTTTAGACTTCTATCATATCTCCTCTCCAAGTTGATAGAAAGATTTTCCTTCACTCCTTAGGTTAAAATATTGATGGATTGCTCCTAAGATGGGTTTCTGAACATTGAGTAAGTTTTTCAGTACCTGTATTGTTTCCTTCTGGATTTTAAGACATCATGAGAAATATTTATCAACACCAAACATTTCATACTCACTGTTCCCAAACTGCCTCAGTGGTTACTGTTCCAACACAAATAATCATAGGCACAGCCATTCAGATATTTAATTTATTATTAAATTACATAACAAAGCTTTTTCTATAGTCAGAAAATGCACATTTAGATGAGAACAAAAATTAAGTACAAACACAACAAAATTGGTCCCAAGAAACTATTTTAAAAGCAAAAAATTAGAAAGTGCATTTGGAAAAGAATAGATTTTTAAAAAGTTCATACTGGCATTTTTCATGAGGATACATCTTCCACTAGTGTAAAATGTGACTGGAATTAATTTTCCCCTCTTACGAGCTAATAGGGTGGGCACTGATGCAAATAATTTGATAATTTAGGTTAGGTACAAAGAAAATGACAAAGATCGCTTAGGACATGGCTCAGCTTTGTCTCTGCTTCTTACTCAATGAAAATCCTTAAAATTCACTTGTTCCTTCCTCATTTTTCCTCCTATGACACTTAAGGGTATGTAGGAATAAACAAGTATAAAGGAATAATTAAAATTAGTTTATTAAGACCATAATGAAAAGTTCTGCATCTTTTTTGGGGGTGAGGTGGGGCAGGAATTGAACTCAGGGCCTCAGGTTTGCCAGGCAGGCGCTGTACCACTGAGCTACATCCCCGGCCCCTGTTCTGCATCTTTGGAAGCCAGGGTAAATAACCCTTAACCTAAAAGGAGAATGGAACACAGTCATCGTAATTTGAGTAGAATCCATTTGTTATTTAGGGTTAGGGTTAGGGTAATCTCCAGCCCCGAAAGTCCTTTTTAACATCAGAAAAATAAAAGGTGAGCAATGCGGGTTACAGGGAGTCCTTCAGTATCATTAACAGTAATAATAAAGAATGTGGAGATTGCGAGGAAGGATAACCTATTGCACTTGGATATCTGGGCTTGAATTTGAAGAATAGATTAAACACTTTTACTAAGGTCATCAGTACACATTAAAACAAAATCTTAGAAACATACCATTTGGGGGCCTGGGGATTTAGCTCAGTGGTTCTGCAGCCTGCCTTGCAAGTGCAAGGCCCCAAGTTCGATTCCCAGCACCAAAAAAAAAAAAAAAAAAAAAGAAACATACCATTTGGAGCCAGGCAGTGGCACAAACTGGTAGTCTCAGCTACCTGAAAAAGCTGAGGCAGAAAGATATTTCAGACTAGCCTGGGAAACCTAGTGAGATGCCATCTCAAAAAAAAAAAAAAAAAAGACATTGAATGCTGTATTCACATTTTCAGTGAAAAAGAAGAGTTTTGAATAGCCACTAAAAAGATCCAAAAAGGAAAGATTTATTATGTAAGACAATGACTAAAGGAGCATAACTTCCCTAAGAGACAACATTTCATTGGGACTAGAAACAGAAAATTCCTCTGACCTCTGGGCTCAGCCTCAACATTCCTAGCTTTGACTGGCTTTAACAAGTAATAAACTGCTGGCTTTTGAACCTAGCAACTGGTCTGGAAGAAAGATAACAAAAAAGGGAAGAAAACCAAGGTGATTTTTAAAAAAGTTAACTGGCACAAAACTGAAACTCAAATCAACAGTCACAGGATCCAAATTAAGTCCTTTCCATTAAAGGGCACATCACTTCCTTTCTGCAAGGGGAAGGGAAGAACAGTCTCTTAATCATCTCCTACTCTCTAGCTATGGGGTGAGGGGCACCTCACTATGGGTAAGAGTACTGGGAGGTCAGTCAGACCTATCTGACTGCAACATTTACACCAAGCCTTTTCAACTTCCTTGGAAGAACTGGTTTCTTTATTTTCATAAAGAAAATAACCAATAATAATTCTATTATTTCACATGAGCACAGCCCTCCTGGGGAGGCTTATCAGCCACCAACACTGTTTCTTTGCTTGGCTGTAGCAAGCTAGATTACTCTCACAATATCAGCTTTAATAAACAAACTAAGTAATCAGACCAGTAAAAAAGACTGGTAGTATAATTAAATAAATAACTTTATTTATGATACTTCAGATTTTATAAATGCCAACTACATAGCAACCAAAGTCCCATAAATTCTAGCTGAGGCACAATCACCAATCAAGGCCCTTTGAAAAATCAAAGATAATAGTATCGGGGGGAGAGAAGTTTTGTTCTCTCAAGAGAATTCAATAAATGAACTTACTTCCTTGATCCTTTAAGGTTCACATTAGGAAAACTTAATTTTCTTTTAAGGGGATTTCCAGGTAATAAAATGATCATCAACCCATATTTAGAAAAATAAACCCCATAGTTAAGAAAAATATATCAAATGCCCTTCATACCCAGAATGTAATAAAACTTTGACAACAGAACGACGAACTGCTCCATCCCAGACTAGTGTTAGTCTTCTCATCATGTAGCAAATCATGCCCCTCTGAACAACAGCACCTATACACGATGCTGTAGTGAAGAATTTATCCTTTTATTCCCTGTGGCAGTCTGAGGCAAGTCCTATAAATACCATAGTCAACTCCAATGGAGAATAGCAGCTTTTTCTTTTGGTGAGGAGTAGGGGTATAAGAAGTCTTTAAAATACCCCGTGTTTCAGTAAGGTAAGTAATGAATTTTCAATAACAGGAACGGTTAAACCTGAAAAAAATTATGGGGGGTAGTTTATTGTCACTATCCAGAGATGGTAATAGAAGACAGGTGCACAAATAGATTGTGATAGGCACCTTCAATAGTCAAACTGTTCTCTGGAGATTTGGAAAAGTTTAACAGGTTTGGAATAGATTTTCACAGAACACAGATCATTAGATCTGGTTCTTAAGCTTTTGCTCCAAAGCTGTTGAGCATTTACATATGAAATTATCTAGATAGTGACTCCTTAATGTCTTTTTAGACTTATTGAATAGAATCTCACTGAAAATTGAGCAGTCCTCACCCTCAGTAACCAGTGCTAATCCTGACATGATAAGGAACCGTTGAGTGTACTGACAGACATTGGCTATTAGTTTTTTTCTCATGGTAGAACTTAGATTTCATCATCCTGTAGTAGCAAATATTAATCCAATGGAATAAAAAAAATTAAAATGACTAGTTTCTTAAATAAAAGAAAAAGAGGCCTGTCCTTCTTGATATTTTTCTAGCAATAGAAAAGTTAACCCCAGTGTACTTGTAATTTTAAAAAAGAAAAGAAAAAGACAAATAATTTTTTTTGCAGTATTCTGTTTTAGATAACTCAAAACATGTTAAATTAAAGAAGGCTTATCAGCATCTCAAAGATTTTGTGAAAAATGAAATTTTCCTTGACTACGAAAAGAGTTGAGAACATCAAGTAGAAAAATCTATCAAGGTAATCAAGAAAGGACTTGCGATTTTTCATCATAGGTGTTAAATAAAAGGACAAGAATTATTTTTATTCACATCCCAATCTGCTGGCTGAAAGAAAGACTCTTTGGATAGTATAGAGAAACCTGGTATTCTGAAGAGTCCAGCTCTGGCTTGTCATCAGGCCTCAACACTATCACTGAAGCACAGAAACTCTTGTTTTTGACTGCTTTACTCACCTCCTAAGGAGACAAAAGCAACTGAAACTTTTTTTGTTGTTTTTAAACTAAAAACAGGAAAATGTGTGTTATAAAAGACAGCACAGAAAAACTGGCTTCAGCTCAATCCATGTCATAAAGCCATCACTATCAGTTTTGAATTCATCTGGCTGGTCAGGGTAATTTTCAGGGCAGTCAACTTCTTCCTTCTTTTCCTTATTCCAGGTCAGGGCGTGAAACTGGTGGTTGTCAAGAGTTCCTGGAGAGGTCCCATCAATGGAAAGCATACAGCAGCAATAGGATGGTACAGATACCAATTACACCACCTAGGATGAGTGAGTCTCGCCGCTTCCTAAGGTTGATCCTCTGGATTAGGCTGTTCACAGCAGGAAAACGATCTTTGGGAAATCTTTATTAAGGTCATATTTGAAAGAAACCTCTTTAGTGAGAAGTCATAGGAATTATAAATATAGCAACGGGTGGAGTCCAGAAACAATAACTAATGGAAAGATACAGGAAGAAAATTATACTGAGGAAGTCTTTGGTAAACACCCTTTCCCAAACTGGGACAAATTCAAGTCTCCCAGTCTTGTGTATAGTATACAAAGAATAATGATGAGAAGAAAAAAAATTAATAAAGAGAGAAGAGAAAATACTGATGATAGTACCAATGTGTTGAGAGATTTGTCAAGCTTCAGATCAGGGTGGGAGCCAGTGTGGTTAGGAAGGCATAGCACAGCCAGCTCTTATCTTGCTCCCTCATCCTGTTTTTCTCCTTGCCTTCTTATCCTAACCTTCTCCCCTATTCCCTATTTCTCCCCCTTTGCTTTTTCCCTCCCATCTCTCAGGAGACAAGAGATTTCTGCTTCAGAGTTTTGAGGAAAATCTGATCCTCTTTCTCATAGAGAAATAATTCTTGGATTGAGTTAATTGGGAACCAACTCTAGGGCCTATGTACTTAGGTACTGATGAATTATTTAAATTAAAAATTTTTTTTTTTTTGGTACTGGGGATTGAGCTCGGGTCCTTGAGCTTGTGCAGCAAGCGGTGAAACCACTGAGCTAAATCCCTGGCCCTAAATTTTAAAATTTACTTTGCAGAAGTAGTCAGGATACAGTGGGAAAGTAGGATCCTATTAGCGAACATGAAAAAAAAAAGCTAAGTTAGGAAAAATTCAATTTTAGGAGCATTATAACGATCATGACTATATTGTACTGTGTATTTCAAGATATCTTCATACTCTTCTACAGATTTCTTTGTGTGTCTGGCATTCATTTCTGAAAATACACCTGCAGGTGCATCCTCTTTTTTTTTTTTGTACTGCGGATCGAACTCAGGACCTTGTGCCTATGAGGCAGGCGAGGGGCCACTGAGCTAAATCCAAAGCCCTGCATCCTCTTTGATAACAGAAAAAAATCAAGTTCAGGAAAACCAACGATAAAACCACCAAGGATATCAGAGAGCTGGACTAGTCTCCCTTCCCTGAGAATCTTCACTGCATTTTTCTGTAACAAAATGCAGATCAGGGACATTCATTATTCATTTATAATATTCTAAATATTGTAGGATCATATCTTCTTCTAATCTTGGATTTTCCCCACACTTAGAATACATACTGCAGGGCCGGGGATTTAGCTCAGTGGTTCTGCCGCCTGCCTTGAAAGTGCAAGGTCCCGAGTTCGATCCCTGGTACCAAAAACAAAACAAAACAAAAAAAGAATACATACTGCAGACATTAGTGTATTTTTTGAATTAATTAAAAACAACAGGACTAATAGAAACAGTTCTAAAAATGTGGATCATAAATCAAGTATTGATGTAAGTCGATCCCTGGTGCCAAAAAAAAAAAAAGTATTGATGTAAGAGACAAAAACTCTTGGCAAGGTAAAAATCTCACATACAGAAAATGCTTAATCTTTTCTTGCTTAGTAAGAGGAGACTATACATAAACTTTTGGCATCAGAAAACCCCATCTATGGTGGATATAGCTTGTCTGATTTACCTTTATGGAACCACCACCCTTCTTCCCTTCTATAATAATCTAGTTCAGTAGCCGAAATATGATGGGCCTGACCTTGCCCTCCATTACCAGGAGTACACACAAACTCAGGATTGGTCAGCAAGAATATTCTACCCCTTGGCCAGTGACTAGGTTAGGAGTGGACAGTGACTCACACTGGGGCAACCACAATCCTCTTTGAGGTTTTTGTGACAGCTGTTAGAAAGAACACCCTTTTCTTTGCTCATAGTGTTTTGAGCTACTGTTATCAGCCATCTTTCTCATCCTGAGGAAAAAAGTAAGGTTAACAGTAAAAAGCTGAGGTAAGGGAAAGAAAGGAGAGAGAGAGAAAAGACAGATTCCTAATGATAAAATATGAGCCACTGAATCCAGTCACACCTTAAGCCAAATTCCACATCTGGATTTTACAGTTAAATGAAATATTAATCCTCTCCTTGTCTCCTTTAAGTCAATTTGAATTAGGTTTCTGTTACTATCTCTCTATGAAATCCTGACTAATACTTATTTTGTTTGATATTTTTGAACACTCATTCTTTTGGAATGATTAAATTCTTGAGTGGCGGGGATCTGTACTAGGCACCATACTGGACTCTGGGACACTGCCTTACCTTGGGACTTTGTCTTAAAATATAATTTTGTTTTGTTTTGGTACTGGAGATTGAACTCGGGACCTTGCGCTTTTCGAGGCAGGCGCTGGAACCACTGAGCTAAATCCCTAGCCCCTTAAAATATAATTTTTAAAAAAGGTCTGGGGCTGGGTATGACAGAACATACATATAATCCCAGCACTCTGTGAGACTGAAGCAGAAGGACTGAAGGTTCAAATCCACCCTGGGCCAAGGTAGGGGACAGCCTGGGGATGTAGCTCAGTACTCTCTGTATTCAATCCCTGGAATACCAAGAAGGGAGAGAAAGGGAGGGAGGGGAAAAGGGAAGACAAGAGAGAGGGAGAGATGGAGGGAAGGAGGAAGGGAGGGAGGGAAGACAAGAAAGAGGTAGGGAGGGAGAGGGAGAGACATCTAGAGGGAGATACAGGGGGAGGGAGACATTGAAAACATTCAGTCTAGCAGGGGAAAAAATACCTCTAGTTCACAGTAGAGAAAAGGACACGAAGAATAGCAGGGACAAATTCTTATGCACAACTTGGAATGGCTTCAATTAGTATTTTATTTGTTTTATTTTGTTTTTTGGTACCTGGGATTGAACTTGGGACCTTGTGCTTTTAAGGCAGGCAGAAGAACCACTGAGCTAAATCCCCAGCCCTCAATTAGTATTTTAAATGACCCAGCTATCCAACCTCCACTTCTATTTCAAAGTTTCAATGGTTTCACAAAATATAAATTCTTATACTGTATTCACTAAGTAGTCTTTGTTCTTTTTTTTTTTTTTTTTTGGTACCGGGGGATGGAACTCAAAACCTTGCACTTTTGAGGCAGGCGCGGTGCCAGTAAGTTAAATCCCTGGCCCAGTAGTATTTGTTCTTGCCAGTGACCAAGTTCATAGTTTTTAAAAGCCTGATTTCACAGGAACTTAAAATCTGAATCTCTCTTGCTCTGGACCTGGCCCAAGTCACTTTTACGAGCCTAATTCTTTATCTGCTAAACAACAATAATAATTTCTACATCCTCTCTTTTGCAGTGATGATAAAGTGACATAGTGACATATTGCATATAACAGTTCTCTGTGGGGCGGGGATTTAGCTCAGTGGTTCCACCGCCTGCCTTGCAAGCACAAGGACCCGAGTTCAATCCCCGATACCAGAAAAAAAAAAAAAAAAATCCAACAACAAAAAACAGTACTCTGTAAGCTACATAGCAGTATACAAGCTATACATAATTTTGGATATCTGGCTTTATACTAGGTAACAAGGCAAGAACAAAATTTACAAATGATTGGAAAATACTAACAAACTCCAGGGTATTTTTTTTTCCTTAGACAAAGGAGGCATCAAACTAAAAGTAACCTTTAATTACTTAGGATCAGAAGATACTCAACTTTTGAAAATTATAGGTCCTTCCTCTCATAGTAGTTGCAGACGAAAGCTTTTTTTTCCTAAAGCTTTTCCCCTTTTTTCCTTCATCTTCCCAGAGACTAAATAAAATTCTTCAGAATGGCCAGCTTATTAGTTTCCTTGGTGGGCCTCTTGGAAGTACTACTATTCTTGGAAGTACTACTAATCTTAATATTTAAACTGGGAAACTGAAAGGCTAAAAGGTCGCAACAAACAATGAATCTATCCTGGAATTCACCTTGTGCTTCTCATCTATGTATATGGCTTCTTCCTTCCTGCTTCCTTCTAAGTATTTGTCACTAACTTGTTCTCCAAACTGGAAAAATAAAGAGCACATAATTTATGATGTTCAGGTAAAACAATATACAGAGGATTCAGAGCTATTAAGTATAAAATAATTTTGTGAATAATTTTAAAATTCACCCCCCCGCCATATCTACTGGTATTAAACCTCCAATGTGGAGTCTTCCAGAAATGGTACTAAACAGCATGAACTTTCACAAAGTAGGAAGCATTCATATGTAATTACTGGGGGGCTTTACTGCTACAGATGCTCAGTACCTTCCCCCACCCCTCCACTACAGAAAAGAACAGGCACATACATACCACACACCCCAACACAGACTTCAAATTTTCAAAAAGGATACTGGCCAAAGTGTTCATTTTGCTGTGAATTGACTTCAACATTCCTCTCTGTGAAGTCATATTTTCTTTTGTTGCCATAGCAATGCTTCAAGAGGGAACAAAAAACCAAATTGGCATTTGAGAGTACTCTGAACACAGCACTCATCATCCTCTACAACTATAGTGTGCAATATCATCTTGAAAAGATCACGCAGGATAATGGAGAGAAAAGCACCTTCCAAGCCATCTTCTTATTGTCCTTTTTTTGAATGACCTCACTGCTACCAACAATATCTTTTTTTTTCCTCTCCTGTACCAGGGATCAAACTCAGAACCTTACACTTGCGAGGTAGGTTGCGGTACCACTGAGCTAAATCCCTGGCCCAACAATATCTTTTTGTATAAGCCACTAGGCCATTTTCTATGTTTTCTTCAAAAAAACAAATGTTACCAAATAAAGCACATACTACAAAAGCTTCTTAAGCTAGTTTTAAAAGGACTCAGCTATTAAAATATTCTTAATCAGGAAAAACTGTTGAGAGGGAAGTAGAGAATTACAACCATAAAAATAAAACCAAAAAACATATATTCATTATATAACCAGTTTTCAATTTATGAGCAAATTCTGTTTCAAAATTTTACTTAAGAATCAATAGCAGACAGCAGATTTGGGGACACACATGCTGCATTACACTGTTTTTTTTGTTTTGAGACAGGGTCTTGCTAGGTAATTCAGGCTAGGATTGAACTCACTATGGAGCCTAGGCTGGGCTCAAACTCTCAGCCATCCTCCTGCCTTAACCTTCAGAGTGCTGGGATTATAGGCATGTGCCACCATGACCGGCTTACACTGGGTTTATATTAAACCAGCTGACAAAGGTCACAGATTTATTAAACATGACTAAAAAAAGGGGGAAAAAACACTTTGTAAAATGCAATCTTTTCATTTGACTTCTTCAATGTTCTGTTAAAAGAATGTGACTACTATTTATTTTCTACTGTTCTATCACCTTAGACATTAGAATCCTAGAGGGTAAGGTCAGTATTGATTTTGATATGTAACACACAGAGGAGTGCTTTAGATATTGACATTATAAAAGCTATAGACAATGGAATGCTGCAGAGGAATTCTGAAAATATCTGAAACATTAAAAAAAAAAAGCAAGCAATACAGATTGACATTCTGGGAAGATGGTGGTTATAGTACAAATTCCTTATCTCATCTCTGGCCTATTTTCTTCCATGAAGTAACACTAGAATAAAAGCAAACATGCTGGGGAAGGTCCATCTGAAACCCCAAGTTCCCTTGAGATCTCCTGGGAAGCAAGCCAGGTGGAGAGCTATACTTTTTCAAGTGAGGAGAGAAACAAGGGAAGGATGGCAGGGAAAGCTAGATTTTTCTTCAAGTCTTGAGAAAAGACCCAGGTTTTCTCACTTCTTAAGGAACCCAGACAGTAAAAGACTATGGATCTGCATGTACAGGACCTGCAGGGATGGACTGAATTGGGTGTACTCCCTGCAGCTGCGAAAGGTCTGATACAGACAGATTTATAGGCAGAGAATTTATAGTCTAGCAGCTGGTGAGATGCTCAGACCCTATGGGGAAAAACTGGTGGGTTATTCATTGCTTGAGTCTCTACTAGTGTGGCCACTCTAAGAGCTGATGAACATAATTTTGGACAGGCAAACCCTCAGAGAATAAACCACCAGGTATCTAACTGAAATGAGATGCTAGCGGGCATACTCTAAATAAATGGTAAATGAATTAAAACTTTAATTTCAAGATTTGAGCAGGCAAGAAGAAATAAAACTGTGTAAGGCAATATACATAAAAGGATATTGAAACATTTTAGAATAGTAAAACCATAAGAACAATAACAGAAATACAAAAAAAAAAAAAAAAAAAAAACCCAAAACCAAACCAAACAGAAAACATACAGCTGGGACTTTGGGGAAAAAAAACCCTGGATCTATGAAAGATATCTACAAGAAGGGCCAGAAAGATGTGTGTGGGCTTCTGGCCAAGGGGATGATCAGGTCAAAGAAGGCTGTGATTGAGTTCTATGCATTCAAAATGCACACAAACTCTGTGCCCATGGGGATGAAGAATCATCTGGAGGTCTTGCGAGTGGCCAGTTCCCTACATAAGAGCAGAGAATTGATGAAGAGCCACACAAAATCTCAAAGAACCCAGAACCCCAGGCTACCATGTGGGAACTGACCAATGCAATGATGAAGGCTGAGATCAGAGAAGAGATATCAGAGGACACTTTGGAAAGCATAAATGATCAGCAAGAAATGAAATAAGCAACAGAAATGGAAACCAACAAAATTCTGTTTGAAATTACAGCAGGGGCCTTGGGCAAGGCACCCTATTTAAAAATAGGTGTTATGGTCCTGTATATTCAAACTCAGATTAGGTAATCTGAGGCCAATCTTTGAACCATATATGCCTCTGTTTTTTAAACTATAACTCTATCTCCTGTGCATTTCAGCTCACAAGTGGGTGGAAATTAAAAAATAATTTCCACAAAGCACTTTGTATTCCTTGGAGAATGGACATTCATCATACATTAAGTTATTACCTTGTTGAATATGCATGATTTCCAGTACCACATAAAGTATATCTAGACATATTTTCCCATCTCATTCCATCATTTGAAGTTGAGCTAAGTGAAATATAGGCTATTATTTCAAGAGTCAGATACTTAGAGGCAAAATACAAACTCCAAATAATATATAATGCTTTAAAAATGAATAAATCATTGATGCGATTACTGGAACTTAAACTTTTTTACCTGTTCTGTGAACTAAACTCACACTTATTTTTTTAACAATAGATAATACTATGCAGTCAAAGATATATAAATTTATAAATATTAAGTTATTTTTTTCTATTCAGTTATTTTTAAAATTAATTTTATTGGTACACTTCAGATATGGATGATGATGACATTCATCATAGGGAATTTGTACCTGTACATAATGTACCTTGATTCTTTCTTTTCCCCCAATCCCCTCTCCTCCCTTTAATCCCTCTTCCCCCCATTTACAAAAGCTTTGTTTCCATTTTTCCTACTATTCTTTCTTTCCTCCTCTTTCCTTTCCCCCTCCCGCCAAGAATCAGTTGTTTTACATAAATTGATGTCAAACCTATATATGGTAGTGTATTTTAACAATGTCTCCAAAATGAAAAATTTTGACATATGAAATATGCAGAAATAATTATTACTTAAATTTAAATTTTACACTATCCATAAGCAACATAACTAGTTTTATGTTCAGAGAAATTTCACTTATGATACCTATCATATTTTGAAACAAAAGCTAATTTAAAATGAAAGACCCAACTAAGACATTGTTTAACCAGAAAAATAATAGTAGCAGTAATTCGGTGGTTCATTAGTCTTCCTATCCTTTGAGGTAGCCCAAATTTTTATACCTGTATTATAGGCCACCTTGTCCTAGAAAATCAGACAAGGGGAAGAGTAAATACAAAAGAAAAAATAAAAGTACTACAGGGAAACTTTAAGTATGTCATTCCTGGCAAAATGTGATGGGACCTTACGTACTCATGAGTTACTTCAGTTGACAAGTAGTTCTGTGAAGATTTTGTTTAGATGGAAGATACAATTCATGCAATTTAAACAAATCAGTGTCTAATGATCAATGCCAATCTCATGTATACTGAGAAGATTAAAGAAAATAGTGTGTGCAAAACACAGTATAGGACGTAGGCCCACAGTAAGAATATACACGTTTGTTTCCATGTTCTTCATTGTACCTTTCCCGAAAAGCTAAAGCATAAAGACCATACCTACATATTTTTTAGTATTATAAAATAGATATATAAAAATTGAAACTGGATAATTAAGGAATTCAACAAATGTTCCTTAATTTAAGCAAGAAACTAGTTCAATGTTATTACAATCAATACTAAATATCACTGTAAATTTTCTATAGCTGCTAGAACAGAGACGAAATCTAAATAAATGGTATAAATAAGACATTTATCAAATCATGTTTAAAACTGTTTTCCAGGGGCCGGATATTTAGCTCCGTGGTTCCAGCGCCTGCCTCGCAAGCACAAGGTCCCAAGTTTGATCCCCGGTACCAAAAAAAAAAAAGACTGTTTTCCATTAAAAATGACAATAAGATTGAAGCTGAAAATATCAAGTATGAATTAACTGAAAAAATTAACATAAATACAACAGGCTAATTCCAATAATTACAGAAATAAATGTTTGGGGCTTTAAATGTCTCTTATAAGGGAATGTCAGTAAAAATATATTACCATCTAATGAAATTCTCTCTCTCTCTCTTTTTTTCTTTTCTGGTACCGGGGATTGAACTCAAGATTTTGCATTTATGAGGCAGGTGCAGCACCACTGAGCTTAATCCCTGGGCCATGAAATACTCATTTTGTTTTTTTTTGGGTACTGGGGATCGAACTCAGGACCTTGGGCTTGCAAGGCAAGTGGCAGCACCACTGAGCTAAATCCCCGGCCCTGAAATACTCATCTTTAAAGAGAGTGATTTGACTTCCACTCTAGTGAAAAGGATTAAACTGATGTGCTCATTAATGTATGTGCAAACAAGTATCAACGAAGTAAAACCAAAAAAATTATTCCTACCTTATTGTTTCTTCTATCAGACGATCTGAGCTGTAAATAAAAAGAAAATTCAAATCCTGAACACACAAACTTGCACTTAATTTTTCTACATTTACAGATAAGATTTTCAGCCACTTATATATACAAAAATACCTAATTTCTGAAGGCATCTGGAGAAAATTCTGGACTTTGAAATTAATTATGCATATAATATATAATTTATATTTTTGTGGTGTTCACATAGTAATAAGAAAACTGAGGCCTAGACACGGGGAGTAACTTGTCCAAGAGTCATATGGTTATCAGGCAGAGCCAGGATTCAAACTCAGCCTGACTTCAGTCTGAATTGGCTCTTGTTTCAATAAATAATAATTCTTGTTTTTTTTCTTCTTTCTCCATAATCAGTCCCAGTCTGTCCCCACCAGACTTTCATCCCTAATCTAGCAAGAATCACAAAAAGACCCTGTTAATAGGATGAAAAAACACATTACACACTGGGAGAAAATATTTGCAAACCACATACTTAACAAAGGATTAGTAACCTAGAATACTATGGTTTAAAAAAAACCCAGAAACAACAATCCAACTAGAAAATGGGCAAAAGACATGAAGATACATTTCACTGAAGAGAACAGGCAGATAGGAAATAAGTATATGTAAAGATGTTCAATATCACTAGCCGTTAGAGGAGAATTAAAACCACAATGACGCATCACTACATACCTATTAGGCTGAAATAAAACATTAAGTGTCAACACCAAATGCTGGTGGGGAAATGGAGAAACTCATACCTTCCTAGTGAGAATGTAAAATGGTACACAGCCACTTTGGAAAACACTTTTGCAGTTTAGAAACTAGTTACAAAAAAACAAAAACCCTAAACATGTGACCACCATATGACTCAACCATCGCATTTCTGAGCATCTGAGAAATAAAAACTTATGTTCACACAAAAACCCTGTACACAAATATTCATAGCAACTTTATAACGAAAAAACAACACAAAAAACAAAAAACAAACCCTGCAAACAACCCAGACGTCCTTCCATGGGTAAATAATGAAGCAAACTATAGTACAGCCATGCTATGAAACACTACTTGGCAATAAGAAGAATGAGTTATTAATAAATTCAATACCTGGATGAGTCTCCAGAGAATTATACTGCATGAAAAAGGCCAATTTTACTATTCCCAAGGCTGAAGCAGGAGTATGAGGTTACCTAACACAAAAAGTGAGACCCTATTTCAAACAAATCAACCAACTAACCAACCAAAAGCTAATCTTAAAAGGTTACATACTGTATGATTCCACACATATATAATGGTCTTGAAATAACAAAATTCAGACATGGAGAATACAGACATGGAGAATAGATTGGTGGTTATCAAGTGCTAATGTGCAAGGTGAAAGGTGGAAGGCGAGTGGTTGTGTCTACAAAGGGGCAAAATGAGAGTTCTTTGTGAAACAGAAATGTTCTGCATCATGATTATATAAATGTCAATATCTTGGTCGTGACACTGTATCATAATTGTGCAAGCTGTTACCACTAGAGTAAACTGGTAAGCAATATACAGAATTCCCCTGTGTTGTTTCTTTTTTTTTTTTTGGTACCCGGGATCGAACTTGGGACCTTGCACTTGCGAGGCAGGCCAGGTGGCGGAACCACTGAGCTAAATCCCCAGCCCCACCCCTGTGTTGTTTCTTAGAATTGCATGCAAATACATAATTAACTCAAAAGAAGAAGTTAAATTAAAAAATGAAAGTGTTGAGCACTGTACCAAGTGACAACCATAACAAAAACCCACTTTAGATTGAATATAAAGCTATACACCTTAAGTAAGTATACAACTATGAAGTAGCATTTAGAAAAATCAAGAAACTATTCTGTGGAAATATATTTCTATCTAACTTAGTGAGTCTGGCTGGAAAAAAACAGAAGAACACAAAGCCAAATCATTTTACACAAATCACCAGAAAGCCAGCCAGATACACTTCATTATTACCGTTATCTGCTTTCTACAAAACTTGAAAATATAATAGCATTTCTCTTGTATCCATTCTCAACCATAAAGTCAGAACTAAAGTTCAGTAACTAGTTAATAAAGCAGCCTATCCACTAGACTGTAGTTAGAAAATAAATTCACTACATTTTGTATTCAAAGACAATGTTCTTGATAAGTGGGAATGAAATGGTCACTAAGGAACAGCTTTCTATGTTGCTTCATTCAAAGGAAATTCTTTGATGTTCTGGCATGCCGATATAACCCTTATTTTATGTAATAAGTATTTTCTTTTTTGACAAATTAAGATTTTATTTAGTATGAGAATGAGGGGGTCCTTTAAGATCCAAGTCCTAACAAGTAGCTTACAAAAAGTTATTTCTTCTTCCTGTTTTGATACTTAACTGTCATACGAGATTCTGTATTACACAAAAGGCAAAATGATTTTTGAAACAAGTTTTTCTATAAAAGAGAACACATATAAATGCTTCCCTAGCTTCAACAGTGAAAGTTATTGTTATCTCTAGTGTTTACTAGGTTGCTTGTGACCCCAAACAGTAAAGGTAAAATATGAGATTTTTATGTTCATTAAAATCTAAAATAGTATGCTAGGAAAATAAAGATATAGTAAACAATGATATAAAGGAGGCTGCAACTCACCAAGAAGCATTACATAAATGACCCAACTATCCTTGGTGGCAGAAAGCAACTTAGCCAGAATACATACTTGTGCTACTGGAGAGGAGATAAACTGAGCCACTTTACCTTTTGGCCAAATTAAAATGCTATTTTTCAATCCTGTTTTGCTTGAAACAAAACAATGAATATAGGTTAAGATCAATTTTCCTCCTGTTTCTGGATCTGAATTTGTAGCTAATTATAGGGCATGGCCTGTCTGTCAACTCCCCTGTACATATACACATACATACAGACATATATATAGAAAACTACACAGTAACTAAGGTATTATTTATACAATCATTAAAAGATGTTCTTTGAACATATTAGCAAATGCTATAACTTTTAATTAAATTTTCCTTAAATAACCAAGCACCGAAAACCTAATAAAAATGTTAATTATCTTAAAATGGTTGACGTTCTTTTCCCCTTAAATAGTCTAAGCCAGAACAGGTCTTTTGTAGATGTGCTTTGTAATAAGTATTTTCCTTAAGAGGTATGCTTTCTGCAAGTGACATTTTCACCAATTTAAAGAATATTTTCAATGTAATAAAGCAATTCTGTAGTTATATGAATTTAATACAAAAGGCCTCATAATGCAAATACATTTTTGTATAAAATCAGATTTTTATATAGATTTTCTTAAAATGATATGTTGAAATAAACCATTTATACCAGATTTATAATTTTTATTATTTATAATACATATTTATACCAGAGGTATAAATTTGATATTGTCTAGTCTCAGATTATGGTCATTTTATAGCAACATCTAATTGTAGTCAAAGAAAACCCAGTGTTTGCTAAATTCACCTGAAACGGAAAATAACCAAAGGAAAACTAAAATTATAGTCTAGATATCCTACTCTACAGAAGGGGTTTTCCCTTCTTTTAAACCCACTTCCATATTAGTCATCTTTCTTTTAGTCCTAAAATGTACTGTAAAGCACATTTCAAAATGCAACATACATGAATATCGAAGAGGTATGCTTTACAGTAGATCTTCCATTTTATAGGAAGAAGATACTTATGGTAAGTCACACAAGTATTTCACAGACACATTCCACCCATCATCCTTCACTTATACAGTGGCATAAACAGAGGAAGGCCAATGATTTTAAATTCTTCCCAAACTGCCTATGCTCTAAATCCTTATTCATTTGGCTAAGACCAAATAGAGTGAATAATATCATTCACAAAGAGTATCTTGGACAGCGTGGATATAAATCAACAGAGTAGCTCCATAAAGATGGCATAATCTAGTACAAATTGAATTTGAAATTGCTTTCTTTTTTTTTTTTTTTGTGGTGCTGGGGATTGAACTCTGGACCTTGTGCTTGCAAGGCAGGTGCGGCACCACTGAACTAAATCCCCAGTCCTGAAATTGCTTTCTTTTGGGATATAAAATATATAATCAAGTGAAATTATCCTTCTTAAATAAGTACTTCATAACAGATTAGAGACATTCCAGAAGGTCATCTGGAGCCTGTAATTAGCCAACAAGTTTCAGCTTCTCTCAAGATTAATTTAAACTAGTTGAAAACAATGAGCTAAATTTCATCACCAATTATTATACTGAGGAATCACTAAAGCCATATTTAAAATTTTCTTCTTAAAAATTTCAAGAGAAAACACGTTATTAAATACATATTTAAAGCAACTTAAACCAACAAAATGTAAGAATTTAGTCAAAATCAGATTACCAGAATCTTTTAAAAAAAGTAGGTGAATAAATAATAAGAAAACAAGCAAGTACAAAATAAATAAAATTTAAAAACCAATCCCCTGGTAAGCTACAACAATTGATGAAGTTGTCAACAGCCAATCAGATCATCAAGCATTGTGGTGATAGTCTTACTTACTGTTAATCTCCCCTTTCCATCCTGAAGGTCTCTTTATTTATTTCTATATAAATATCTCTTACCATTGTTAACTGAACCAATTAAACTTTAGTAGGATACATATATGCTATTTTAGTGCTTAGAGATTTTTAATTTGCAAATAACATTTGGAAAGCACAGAAAAACAAAGATTAAAGTAGAAACTATCTGTAACTTTTCTTCCACTTATATTAATATTGTGGCATATTTCCTTACACTCTGTGTACAAACAAAGGAATATCTTGTTTTTTTCACAATTTATTTGGCACACCCCTAGACTTGTATGATCCATTGGTTCACTTTTTGTATCATATAGGTCTATGGGTTTTGACAACTGCACAGTGTCATACATACAATGTTAATAAACCATATAGGATAGTTTAATTGGCTTAAACATCTCCTGTGCTTCAGACATAGTCATTTTGTTCCCTCCCCTTTCCATCCTGAACCTCTTGCAATGGCTGATCTTTCTACTGTCTCTACAGCTTTGCC